TTGTGTAACCATCACCATCCCCCAAGGAAACCTGATACGCATTAGTGGTTGTTCCCATTCCCTCTCTTCCCATCCTCTGGCAGCCACTAATCTGTTTTCTGTTTCTTTGGGTTCATTTATTCTGGATATTTCATTTAATGGAATCATATAATTTGTGGCCTCTTATGTCTGGCTTTTTTCACTTGGCATGATGTTTTGAAAGTTCATTCATATTCTTTGTGTAGTTTGCAGGTATGAATCCAGAATCTTCCAAGAAAAAAGAAAAGAAAAAAATTTAAAAAAAGGAAAAGTTCATTCATATTATAGCATATATTAGTACTTCTTTCTTTATATTTTATATTTTTACATTCATGTCACATAAGCACCTCATTTCGTTTGATGGCCAAATAGTAATTCAATTGTATGGATAAACCATATTTTATTTATCCATTTATCAGTTGATGAAAATTTGTTTTTTTTCCATTTTCTGGCTCTTCAGCATTCGTGAACAAGTTTTTTGTGTGGACATGTGTTTTAATTCTCTGATAAATACTTAGGAGTAGAATTGTGTCATGGTAACTGTGTTTAACATTTTGAGGACCTGATAAATGTTTCCATTTTACATCCCCATTTACATCCCCACTAGCGATATATAAGGGTTCTAATTTCTCTGCAAGACTTAGATTTTAAAATAACTGTTCTTCTATTTCTGTGATTGTGGGGACATTTCTGAACATTAAATGTCTTATCTGAAAAATGGAAGGTTATTGTGAGGATTGAATTCCAAAAATGTATAGAATCATCTAGTACTATGCTTAGAATGCAGTAAGTATTCAATTTTAAATTATTATATAAAATTATGTGGCTTGGGCAACATGGCAAGACCTCATCTCTACAAAAAAGTCACACCTGGCTAATTTTTGTATTTTTTGTAGAGACAGAGTTTTGCTGTGTTGCCCAGGTTGGTCACAAACTCCAGAGCTCAGGCGATCCACCTGCCTCAGCCTCCCAATGTGCTGGGATTACAGGTGTGAGCTACCACTCACAGCTTCCCGGCTCATTTAATTTTTCTTTTATAAAGATGGATCTCGCTATGTTGACCAGGGTGGTTTCAAACTCCTGGGCTCAAGCAATCCTCCCGACTCAGCCTCTCCCAAAGTGCTAGGATTACAGGTGTGAGTGACTGTGTCTGGCCGACAGAGATTTCTGAGGTAGTTTTGCTGCTATATTAACACTTTGGTCAAATTGCAAGTCTAGTTAAGGAGAACAAGTAATAATTCCAGTACTTCTTTCAAGATGGTTGCTTGTTTATGGACGTGGAAGGGAGGGAGAACATTGCTGGGCTATACAGATTAGTCTTATCTTGGCCAGTTGAAAATCAGTTGTAGTTTTCATTTTGTGGAGAAATTTCATTGCCAAATATTGCAGCATTAAGGAAGTACATAAGAAATGACTAAAGTGGCACACAATTGTTGGATCGATATGTTTTGAATAAAGAACTATAAGTTTTAAGTGATGATGTTACATGCTTAATTTGTGCCTTAAAGCTTAGTAGAAATACCTTTTTAAAAATTTTTGCATTTATACAGCATTATTATTTTTGATGCAACTGTGTAAGATACATTCTATGTCGCTGTGAGCCACTGAACTGTTATCTTGTAATATATATTTAAAAAATAATTTGTGGATGCTTAAAAGTTATTATGGGTGTATTATTCTCCTCCCCTACCCCCCCGCCCCGAATTCTGGAGTGACCTAGAAATGGTTGGATTATTTTGTAAACCCTTACCTTTTTAAAAAAGTAAACTGAATATATAAAATATTATATATTTAAGGCCCTCAAGCAATCATCTTCAAAAAGATACATCAGGAAATGTAAACAGTTTAACATTTTAATAAAAGAAATCTACTTCGACAATTTTTTTTCTCTTTTCATAAAAGTAATACATGTTTTTGGGTAAAAAAATTTTATCAGTAGAGGAGCAAGGAAACTATTAAACAATTCTGTAAGTAGAGGAGCAAGGCAACTGTTCATACAAACACATATGAAAGCTATTAAAAGAAAACTTGGATTACCTGCATGCTTTTCTATAATTCACAATAATATAATCATGATTTGTCTTGGATTGCTTCCATTCTTTGTCAATATTTTTGGATTTACTTTTTTTTTTTTTTTTGAGATGGAGTTCCACTCTGGTTGCCCAGGCTGGATTGCAGTGGCGCGATCTCGGCTCACTGCAACATCCGCCTCCTGGGTTCAAGCAGTTCTCCTGCCTCAGCCTCCTGAGTAGCTAGGAGTACGGGCACACGCTACCACGCCCCAGCTAATTTTTTAGGAGAGACGGGGTTTCACCATGTTGGCCAGGCTGATCTCAAACTCCTAACCTCAGGTGATCTGCCTGCTTCAGCCTCCCACAGTGCTGGGATTACAGGTGTGAGCCACCATGCCCAGCCTTACATTGTTTTTAAATGGCAATCTGAGGTCCAGTTGGAGCTCCAGTAAGAACTGGTAGGTACCATAGTTTGGGGTGTGTGTGTGTGTGTGTGTGTGTGTGTGTTTGTGTGTGTGTTTGCTAATCAGCATCTCAGTTTCAATTCTGACTTGACTTAATCATATTTGAACTTAGTTAAAAGTTAATTTTGGTTAACTTAAGTTGATCTGAATTACCCAAAGGGTTTTATGTTTTCAAGAGACTTAGCTTTGTAGAATCATTTAAAGATCCAGGTTTTTTTTTTTTTTTTTTTTGCCATCTTTGCCTTTGTTTTTTATCTTGTTACTAAAGATGCCAAACTTTAACTTAGCTCCTTTTTATGGTATTTTTTAGAATTATGTTTTCTGATCTTTTTGGTACTGTTCCATGCTCAAAAAATAAAACGCTTGTGTAACAGTTGGTTTTTATTATTATGCTCATGAATGAAGGTTTGGCGTGGGCTGATCACACTGACTAGTATTTGGGAAGGAATAAACCTGCATCCAGTATGAAGTGGCGAACAGGGTTTTACAGGACAAAGGAATAAAAGGCTTGAGTCTCCAAAAAGATCTTAAAGTTATTATTGGTAGGGCACAGAGTAGAAAGGATTTTTAAGAGAGTCCAAGGAATCCGAGTTGCCTGTAGCCTTCAGTTCTGTTTTGGATTAACTCATAAAAGATAGAATTAGTTGCACTGGAATGTAAATTGGATAAGTGAGATAATTTCAGTTCTTTTTTAACTTACTAGCATTGCTTTTATGTGCTAAGTCATGCTTTGACTTAAATATTAAGAAAGTGTCCTTGCTTAAACCAATACTCAGTTGAATGGATATAAAAATCTGCGCTAAGTTAAATCCAGGCCACCAGATATGATATCCTAAGAACAAACATATATTCAATTAGGCTATTAGATATTGATCTTTCATTTGTGAGGGCTTTAGCAAACACTGCAGAATATACAGCTTTTAAGAGATTCATACTTATAAGCATTTAATTTGTTCTTCACTATCATTCTAATAAAGGAGTATAGCCTCTTGTTCCAGTGTGGATTTTTTTTCACAAGCAAGCACATTTCTCCCTATATGAACTTCTGCCTCAAATGAATCATTTTAAGAATGTAGGCTTGGCACAGTGACTCACACCTGTAATCCCAGCATTTTCGGAGGTTGAGGCAGTTGGATCACCTGAGTTCAGGAGTTCAAGATCAACCTGGCCAACATGGTGAAACCCTGTCTCTCCTAAAAAATTAGCTGGGGCATGGTGGTGCGTGCCTATAGTTCCAGCCACTTGGGAGGCTGAGGTAGGATAATCGCTTGAACCTGGGAGATGGAGATTGCAGTGAGCTGAGATCGCACCATTGCACTCCAGCCTGGGTGACAGTGTTACTCTGTCTTAAGAAAAATAATTTAGATATTACTTATATTGTCACAGAACCTATTTCCTTCTCTGAAAAATTTTTTTTAAAAAAGATATTACTTATATTGGAGATGAATATGAGAGTGCCGTTTTTATAACATAGGTTAATCAGACTTTGGTTTTCATTTTGGCACATTTAATGTTGAAATGGATTTAAGCAGGGGCAAAATTGGCTTCATCTTCCTTTATTATCATAAGGTGACTAGGACATAGGTATACCAGTGTATTTTTACCACTTAGCATCAAAATGTTACCCAAATTTTACTCTGTATATATGAGAAATTTTTTTTTTTACAAATCTTAAGATAATTCTTTATTCACTTATTATGTGTTCTCTGAATCAACTTCTAATTTGTTTTTAAAAATTTTTTTAATTTTAATTTTAATTTTTTCACAATTCTTTTACAACTGACATAATTTGTGTTTTAAAAAATGGTGGTAGTACAGCTGGGCACAGTGGCTCACACCTGTAATCCCAGCACTTTGGGAGGCCCAGGCAGGTAGATCATTTGACGCCAGGAGTTTGAGACCATCCTGACCAACATGGTGAAACCTCATTTCTACTAAAAATACAAAAATTAGCCGGGCGTGGCGGCGGGCGCCTGTAGTCCCAGCTATTCATGAGGCTGAGGCAAGAGAATTGCTTGAACCTAGGAGGCAGAGATTGCAGTGAGTGAAGATCACTCCACTGCACTCCAGCCTGGGTGACAGAGCGAGAGTTCGTCCCTCCTGCAACTTCCAAAAAATGGTGATAGTTCATAGGATTAATAAGGACTTGAATTGGAAGAGATCTTAGATGATTTCATCCAGTCCCTTTATTTTATGGCTCATTTCTTTGGCCTCAGTGACCTAAAGTCACTCAACTAGTTTGTTGGAAAGCTAGAGATTAGAGCCTAAGTCAGCTATATACTCTTTTCCTTTTATTAGTACATGCTGTCTCTCTTGGTCTAGAAAAAAAGAAAGGCTTGCTGTAGGAAGTGTTGCCTTTGGGAATCAGAAATAAGATTATTTCATTTCTTACTCATTTGTGTCTTGAACAGTTAACTTCTACTTTTGAACTATATATTTATTGTAAAATTATTTGTTGGGAGTATGCTTTTGGTCTGGATTTTAAATCTGTAATGTCTTCTTCTAGTTGGATTGGATGCTGCTGGCAAGACAACCATTCTTTATAAACTGAAGTTAGGGGAGATAGTCACCACCATTCCTACCATTGGTAAGAAAGTTTACAGATGACTTTATATCATGATATGTTGTAAAGTGAAATATAATACAGTCTAGTTTTGACACTGTCTTTTTGTTAAGCTTGTTGATTATCTTAGAAGTACTTTTAAAACATGCTGGGTGGGCATATTCCCTGAGGTTGGGAGTTTAAGACCAGCCTGACCAACATGGAGAAGCCCTGTCTCTACTAAAAAAAAAAAAAAATTTAGCCGGGCATGGTGGTGCATGCCTGTAATCCCAGCTACTCGGGAGGCTGAGGCAGGTGAATTGCTTGAATCTGGGAGGCTGAGGTTGCAGTGAGCCGAGATCGAGCCATTGCACTCCAGCCTGGGCCCGAGATCGAGCCATTGCACTCCAGCCTGGGCAACAAGAGTGAAACTCTGTCTCAGAAAAACCAGGCCAGATATGGTGGTCATGCCTGTAATCCCAGCACTTTGGGAGGGAGGCCAAGGCGGGTGGTCACTTGAGCCAAGGAGTTCAAGATCAGCCTGCGTAACATAGCGAGACCTTGTCTCTGATGTTTAGGTTTAAATTTTTTTTTAATATAAAAAGAAATAATTGCTTTTAAAACACTATTCTAACAAAAATTCCACAATAAAAGGTTTTATTTTCTTAATGACGCTGCACAGCGGTCATTTTTGTTTTTCTTTGTAGGTTTTAACGTGGAAACGGTAGAATATAAGAACATTTGTTTCACGGTATGGGATGTTGGTGGTCAAGATAGAATTAGGCCTCTCTGGAAGCATTACTTCCAGAATACCCAGGTAAGGGATACTGTATGTTTTTATAACTTTTCTTTGTGGGTTTCATGCTCTAAAGTTTATATCAGTGTCTAGTATTTACTTGGATGTGGGTGTTTACTATGAGTTGGCATTTGACTTATCTCCACTTCCACATTCTTCAGTGGACTCTCACTTATGCCTTGGAAGGCTAACTTATGTAGAGTGGAAGAGTTGTATAGCAATTACAGTAAATGTTTGGAAGATGGAATGGGTGCTGGTGTACTTCTCAAGTATGAATTGGGTCTCTTATCCATAGTTCTTTGGTTTCCATCTTAGTTTAGAAAGTAAGGTCTGTATGAACTGTCATTGTAGTTTCTGATGAATATAAGACAATTGATCTTTGTTTAGCACAGTTCGGTGTTTACTTTATTAAATACATTAAGGTCAGTTTGCTACATTGATTTGTAAGATATTTTTTATATTGCCATGTAGTATGTATATATAATACTGGCATGGAAGAGACCTTAGTGTTCCTGTAGAACAGGAGTTCTCAAATTTGGTGGCACTTAAGAATCACATGGGGGCTGGGTGCGGTGGCTCATGCCTGTAATCCCAGCACTTTGGGAGGCCGAGGTGGGTGGATCCTGAGGTCAGGAGATCGAGACCATCCTGGTCAACATAGTGAAACCCTGTCTCTACTAAAAATACAAAAAATCAGCTGGGCATGGTGGTGCATGCCCAGCTACTCATGAGTCTGAGGCAGGAGAATTGCCTGAACCCAGGAGGTAGAGGTTGCCGTGAGCCGAGATTGCACCATTGCACTCTGGCCTGGGTAACAAGCGAAACTCTGTCTCAATAAAAAATAAAAATAAAAAAAAGAATCACATGGGGAGCTTTAAAAATCCCAATTTGAATCAGAATCTCAGGGTATATAATCCAGGTATAGTATAGTAGTGTTTCTTAAACTTTAATATGCATATGAATCACCTGGGTATTTATTAAAAATACACATTGATTCCATAGGTCCTAGGTAAGGCCTGCAATTCTGTACTTCTAGCACTTCTTGGGTCGTGCTGATACTACTGGTCTGGTATCTTACAACACAGCACTATTTACATTTTGGGCTGGGTTATTCCTTGTTGTTGGGTATGGGGAGGGCTCTCTATGCATTGTAGAATGTGTAGTAGCATCCTTGTCCCCTACCCACTAGATGCCAATAGCAGCTCCCCCCATCTGGCAGCCAAAAATCTCTCTACACCTGCAAAATATCCCCTGGGAGCAAAATTGCTCCCTGCTGAGAACCACTGTTCTTTAACTAACTCTCTTATATTTGAGGAAACTGAAACTTAGAATGACTTACCCAAGATGGGAGCGTTTGCTCTTACTCTACCTTTGTTTAACTTGGTCCCAAATCTGTTGTTTTTTCTGTCCCCTAAGGAATTTCTTGTCAGTTTTCATTTACTACTTAAGTTGGTAAGGTTTTTTTAAATGTGATATCACTAGCACTTTTTATGTTTAAGACTTGCAATGTCATCTTGTTATCCTACTCTTAAAACATTGCATACAAGTGGGTTATATTGCCACCAGGTGGCAGTGAATACCCTAGGTGAGTGGCTGGGACAACCAGGTTTACATAGTATGTCATGTTAAATAGTGATATGCTTTTTAATTTAAAAATGAGAATGTTTACGGTCATCAATATAGCTGTGACTAGAAAAGATATTTGATACAGAGGCACATGCTTTAAAAAAAGCTTCATCATGGAAAATGTTAAATACAGAATTCTTGGGACCAGAAACCACTGTTTCTGATCTCAGAATTTCGGGGGTTTTGGAATATTTGCATTATACCAGTTGAGCATCCTAAATCCAGAAATCCAAAATCCGATATACTCCAATGAATTTTTATGCTGGAGTTCAGAAAGTTTTGGATTTTGGGGTTTTGGATTAAAGAAACTCTGTATACATATAGAGTCATCTCTAATGTGCTCTACCCTCTAGTCTTTGTTTTTTTTCTGAGATGGAGTCTCGCTCTGTTGCGCAGGCTGGAGTGCAGTGGCGTGATCTTGGCACACTGCAGCCTCTGCCTCCTGGGTTTAAGCAGTTCTCCTGCCTCAGCCTCCCAAGTAGCTGGGACTACAGGCATATGCCACCACACCTGGCTAATTTTGTATTTTTAGTAGAGATGGGGTTTTACCATATTGGCCAGGCTGGTCTCAATCTCCTGACCTCATGTGATCCACCTGCCTAGGCATCTCAAAGTGCTAGGATTACAGATGTGAGCCATCACACCTGGCCAATATATTTTGAAAGAGTTAGATATGAAGTAAAACCTTGCTAATCCTTAATCCTAATAATTCTTGACCCAGGGTAACCCTGGCTTTATCCCTAGATTTGTTTAGAATGCTTTAATTTACTTTGCATTCTTAATTTGAGATTAGACCCAGTTCTGGCCTCTTCAGACCACCTTAGAAATAAAAGTCCAAGTACTATTTCCTAGGGAGTTCATGCTAGCTGGGGAAAGCTTTATGTGTTACTTGATACAATCAAAGCTAAGTTCTTAGCTTGCATTCCCAGCATTCCTGATCAGTTCTTCTAGCTGTAAAATTTAAAAGAAACTAATTATAACTTTAACCATGTTTCTAACTTATACTAACAAACCATGGCACAGTGTTTAATAAATTCCTATTAGGTAATTCCAACTAATTTGCCATTCTAAATAATTAAGCAAATATTTGGCTGTTAAAATAATCTTACAGCAGCTGGGCTTATCTATAGAATCCGAACTTTTCTTCACTCTTAATTCTAGGCTGTTCCAGGAAGAAAATAATTAGGGATTAATTGCTAAAACAGTTCTCCTTCTCAGTAATGTTAGGAGTATTATTTACTATCAGTCCCAAAGTAACTGATATTATTTACGTTTTAAAACAGAATAAAGGCTGGGTGCAGTGGCTCATGCCTGTATTCTCAGCACTTTGGGAAGCTGAAGTGGAAGGATCGCTTGAGCTCAGGAGTTTGAGACTAGCCTGGGGACCCTGTCTTTACATTTAAAAAAATAAAAATAAAAGGTTAGTAATCAAGATAAAATTAGATACCTTTTAGGAGCATTACCTCTTGTAAAGGGTAGGTTTCAGGACTGGGTGCTGTGGCTTATGCCTGAAACTGCAACATTTTGGGAGAACCATGACAGGAGGATCACTTTAGGCCAGTGGTAATTCAAGACCGGCCCAGGCAACAGAATGAAACCCTGTCTCCATAAAAAAAAAATTGCTTGGGCATGGTGGCACACTCCTGTAGTCCCAGCTACTTGAGAGGCTGAGGTGGGAGGACCACCTGAGCGTAGGAGTTGGAGGCTGAAGTGAGCTATGGTTGTGCCACTGTACTCCAGCACGGGGGACAAAAGGAGACCTTGCCTCTTTTTTGAAAAGAAGAAAGATGAAAAAGGTTTGGTTCTAAAAAGGAGTAGCCTTTGAAATAGGGAAAGGAGACAGATTTGCTAAGTAAATGCCTATGATAAGCCAAGCACAATGATAGATCTTTTATACCTCTGTGATTCCATTTAATCTTTAGGAAGTTTATAAAGTTGGTAGTATTTTTATTTAATAGAAGAGGTATATTCAAGGATTAGGTAATATATGTAACAAATGGTGTAAGATTTGAATTTGAGTCTGTTTTCCCACCATAGTATATTGGCTCCTAGAGCATCAAAGTTACTTTTTGTTTTTGAGATGGGGTCTCTACTGCCCAGGCTAGAGTGCAGTGGCACAGTCATGGCTCACTGCAGCCTCAACTTCCTGGGCTCAAGTGATCCTCCCTTCTCAGCTTCCTGAGTAGGTAGGACACCATGCCCTACTAAAAGTTTGTTTTTTTTTTTTTGTAGAGACAGGGCCTTATTGTTGCCCAGGCTGATCTTGAACTTCTGACCTCACATGATCCTCCCACCTCAGCCTCACAATTGGTGAGATTAGAGGTGCCATGCCAGCCAAAAGTTTTTTCAAAGGATGGTATACTGAATGTGATGGGTTTCCAAGTGGTGTAGATGCAGTCTAAAATAAAATTAAAAGTTATGGTTTCCAACAGAGATAAAGGAAATGGACTTGTAATTTGCTAAAACAAAGGAAATTGTCATTTAATGGATATCAAATAAGCATTGGATGCCCCTGGAGAGCCTAGTACTGTGGTAATCCTGAGAGTAAATAGAAAATGATTAGATCCCTTTTAGGGGCATTACCTCTTGTAAAGGGTAGGTTCCAGGACTGGGTGCTGTGGCTTATGCCTGAAACTGCAATATTTTGGGGCTGGATGCAGCGGCTCTTGGGCTCAATTGAACTTCCCACCTCAGCCTCCCAAGTAGCTGGGATTACAGGCATACGCCACCATGCCCAGATAATTTTTGCATTTTTTTTTTTTGGTAGAGACAGGCTTTCGCCATGTCGCCCAGGTTGGTTTCGAACTCATGAACTCAAGTGATCTCAGGCCTGATTGCTTGACTGCCTCGGCCTCCCAGAAGATTACAGGCATGAGCCACCATTGCCTGGCCAAATTCATGATTCTTTAGGCTTCTTGATTTGTTATTTTTCTTTTTGTTCCTACTATGTGGATATTTTGGTACCTGTACTTATGTGTGAAAGTACAGAGGGGAGAGGGGAAAATGGATATGGTTTATACCTAGCGCAGTTGAGAAAAGTAGTTAATTGGTGAAGAATAAGATATTTTTAGATTTGAAATAGCACTGATAAGTTAAAATTACAAATAGTTCTCAAATCAGCTTTCAGCGTTACAGCCTTAATGAGACATTTTCTTCCTAATGTCTAACCATTGATAACATTTTTCTGCCTACGTTTATGTTTCTTATGGAGAGTGTTGTTTAACTCTTAAAATTTACTGAAACAATCTTTCCCCAGGGTCTTATTTTTGTGGTAGATAGCAATGATCGTGAAAGAATTCAGGAAGTAGCAGATGAGCTGCAGAAAATGGTAAGAATATACTTTAAATTCACAATTTCCAAGGTGTGTTTTTCTGGGTGAAACGGTTAGTACATTTTAGCTATGATTAGATTATACAAACAGTTTTTGAAGGGGCTAGAAATAAACTTAAGAAACTATATTATCCACAGGTTCTTAATAATGTACTTCAAAATCTCTTATAGAGCTTTTAAAAAAACTCATGGAAGAGTAGCTACTTCAGTAAGTTGGGAGGAAGGCACAGCAGCTATTTTTAGAATGCCTCATGGGTAATCTTGATGCCCGTGTCTGGCTGAGGATATCAGATTTAGCTCAGTGCCTTGTTTTACAGATATCGAATCTGTATTGCTGAAGCAGTTTTGACCCTAAGATTATTGGTTCAGATGTTTTGTTCCCAGGCTCATCGGTTTCATTTTCTCTATGTTGTTCCAATAATTACTTTAGAAATGTTTTTTAATAGTAACCATTAAAAGATAAGGAATTCCTTCTGAAAGTAGAGACAGTTTGGTTCACAGTGGCATTTTGCAGATTTGCCATATATTGGATTAATGTTTTCATGTGTTCATGTTGTTATTCTGAACAGAGGAAAACTTAGGAGAAAATCCTTGTCATGAGTTTAAACTTGTAGGCATAAAATGTTTACTGAAATGAAATATTTTTTTTCCTTTTGTTTTTTGAGGCATAGTTTTGCTCTGTTGCCCAGGCTGGAGGTGCAGTGGCATGTTCTTGGCTCACTGTAACCTTTGCCTTCAGGGTTCGAGCAATTCTCCTGCATCAGCCTCCCAAGTAGTTGGGATTACAGGCATGTGCCACCATGCCCGGCTAATTTTTTGTATTTTTTTAGTAGAGACGGGCTGACCAGGCTGGTCTTGAACTCCTGACCTCGTGATCCACCCACCTTGTCTTCCCAATGTGTTGGGATTATAAGTGTGAGCTACCATGCCTGAAATGAAATCTTAATTCTCATTCATTACTCCTAAAACTAGAGTGCAGTTTGTAAAGCCATTGTACCAGTATATGTGTAACTAAATCATTGTTGGATTTTTGCCTGAGTCAAATGTCACCAGCTTTCCCTCTTTAAAAAAAAAAAAGCACTTCATTGAGACATACTTGTTGACATACTATAAATATCAACCTTTTAAATTGCAAAGCAGTGGCTTTTGTGTACAGTTGTACAACCGTCACCACAATCTACTACTAGAAAATTTTCATCACCCCGAAAAGAAATCTAGGAACCATTAGCAGTCACTCCCCATTTCCTTCCTCTCCTGCGCTACACTCCCAGCCTCTGACAGCCACTAATTAGTCTCTATATAGTCACCTATTCTGGACATTTCATATAAATGAAAACATACAATGTGTTCTTTTGTGACTGTTTTCACTTAGCATAATTTTTCAGGGTTCATCTATATTGTATCATGCATCAGTACAAGTTCTATTCTTGGTTCCGTTTTTGTATTTTTCATGATACTGCCCAAATAATTGTGGTGTTGTCCCGCTGTTGGTCCAGCTGGCAGGAAAGAAGTCTGAAAAGTACTTCTGCTATGAAGTACCGTAAGACCCTGTCATAAACATTTTATACCCATATGTGTTTCTTGCCCTTTTCAATTCTGACAATGGGTAATCATGAAGGCTGAATGATTTGCTTTCGTGGGGTTTAGGATGATGGACTTGAAAAACAATCTGTCTTACTTGAAGGCATATGATTGTTTGCTCTGGATTTAAAAACTGAGTGGTGTGAGTTATGAGTATCTGAACTTTATGTAGAGAAATTTGGTTAATGTTTAATAATATATATAATGCTGAGTAAAGTATATCTAGGAGGACGGTTTGTTTCAAAAATTGGATGCTGGTTGGTAGTTTTTAATGCCTTACCTTTTTATTTCCAGCTTCTGGTGGATGAGTTGAGAGATGCAGTGCTGCTGCTTTTTGCAAACAAACAGGATTTGCCAAATGCTATGGCCATCAGTGAAATGACAGATAAACTAGGTCTTCAGTCTCTTCGTAACAGAACAGTAAGTATACAGAGGTTAATATTAACCTCTTGACTATTAAGAGTTATTAGGCCAGGCACGGTGGCTCACACCTGTAATCCCAACACTTTGGGAGGCTGAGACGGGCAGGTCACCTGAGGTCAGGAGTTCAAGACCAGCCTGACCAACATGGAGAAACCCCGTCTCTCCTAAAAATACAAAATTAGCTAGGTGTGGTGGCGCATGCTTGTAATCCTAGCTACTTGGGAGGCTGAGGCAGGAGAATCACTTGTACCCAGGAGGTGGAGGTTGTGGTGAGCTGAGATCATGCCATTGCATTCCAGCCTGGGCAACATGAGTGAGACTCCGTCTCAAAGATAAAAAGGATAATTGTGTAAACTAGTATTCAGTTTAAACATTTATTTATTATCTCCTTTCGACAAGTAATGAACACATCATTTGTTTAAAAATACGGTAATAGGCTGGGCGTGGTGGCTCACACCTGTAATCCCAGCACTTTGGGAGGCCAAGGCGGGTGGATCATGAGGTCAAGAGATGGAGACCATCCTGGTCAACGTGGTGAAACCCTGTCTCTACTAAAGATACAAAAAATTAGCTGGGCATGGTGGCACCTGCCTGTAATCCCAGCTACTCAGGAGGCTGAGGCAGGAGAATTGCCTGAACCCAGGAGGTGGAGGTTGCAGTGAGCCGAGATCGCGCCATTGCACTCCAGCCTGGGTAACAAGAGCAAAACTCCATCTCAAAACAAAACAAAAAATGGTAATAAGCTTTAAATATCTTTGATTTTTTGTAAAGATATAGAAAACTCCCGGGTGTGGTGGCTCACGCCTGTAATCCTACCACTTTGGAGGCCAAGATGATGGATCACCTGAGGTCAGGAGTTCAAAACCAGCCTGGCCATCATGGTGAAACCCCATCTTTAAAAAAAAAAAAAAAAAGATATAGAAAACTATTGTGGAATTGGTCTAAAGATTATTGATAGTCTTTTTTTAATCTTTTTTTTGAAGGGGGAGGTGGAAGGAATGGAAAGAAGATTATTGATAGTCTTAATTTTAATTTTGTATCTTTTAACCCTACAGCAAACGTTTTGTAATTTGACTTTCATATTAAGGGTCCAGTATTTTTAGCACCTGAAATTTAGCTAATATTGTTTAGTAGTGTTTGTTTGCTTGTTTTAAAAGTGGCAATGGGGGTCTCACTTTGTTGCCAGGCTGGTCTTGAGGTCCTGGACTCAAGCAATCCTCCCACTATCTCAGCCTGCCAAAGCACTGGGACTCCAGCTATGGTGCTCAGCCTTGTTTGCTTGTTATCAGCTTATGGAGGGGACCAGGTACCATGGCTCTCCTGTAATCCCAACACTTTGGGAAGCCAAGGCAGGATGATTGCTTGATGCCAGGAGTTCGAAACCAGCTTGGGCAACAAAGTGAAACCCCATCTCTACAAAAATAAAAATTAGCTGGGTGTGGTGGCATGCGCCTTTAGTCCCAGCTACTTGGGAGGCGGAGGTGGGAGGACTGTTTGAACCCAGAAGTTGGAGGCTGCAGTGATCTGTGATTGTACCCATTGCCCTTCGGCCTTGGTGACAGAAAAAGACTATTTCTTTAGAAAAAAAATTGTACTTCTCTAAAATCGCTTATCATTTGAGATCAGTGATTGAGATAAATTATCATAAACTTAGTGTCATGTACTTTTTATAGTAGTTTTGCATTAACTTATAAACAAGGCAAATACTGTGGCTGTGGTAAAAAATGAAACAACAGAGAACCTATTGCCTGTTTGAGACATCTCAGGCTGATTTAAACAACTTAAACTGGGCTGGGTGTGGTGGTTCACACCTGTAATTCCAGCATTTTGGGAGGCGAAGGCAGGTGGATCACTTGAGACCAGGAGTTCAAGACTAGCCTGGCCAACATGGTGAAACCCTGTCTCTACTCAAAATACAGAAATTAGCTGGGTGTGGTGGTGAATGCGTATGTAATCCCGAGCTACTTGAGAGGCTGAAGACATGAGAATCTCTTGAGCCTACCAGGCAGTGGTTGCAGTGAGCTGAAATCACTCCACTCCAGCCTGAGCCACAGAGTGAGTTCACTGTCTCAAAACAATAAATAAATAAACAACATTAACTGTAAATGATACAAGTTTTCCATACTGTGAAGCTATGAAATTGAGCCTTTTCCCAGCCTCCTAGGTTACTGAGATTTGGTATTCAAATAATTGGTAATATGGTATACTTGTAGTGGCCTTGAAACATTAAACTGGTCAAAAAAATTAATTAAACTATGCCTTAAATGTAAATTGCTTTCTAGGTTTTATTTTCTTTTCTTGATACTTTCACATAGTTACTAGAGATAAGATTCATTACCATCTAAAAAGCAAGAACAGGCTGGGCATTGTGGCTCACGCCTATAATCCCAGCACTTTGGGAGGCAGGCAGATCATGAGGTTCAGGAGTTCAAGCCCAACCTGGCCAACATAGTGAAACCCCATTTGTATTAAAAATACAAAAATTAGCCAGACATGGTGGTGCATGCCTGTAGTCCCAGCTACTCAGGAGGCTAAGGCAGGAGAATCGCTTGAATCCAGGAGGCAGAGGTTGTGGTGACCCAAGATTGTGCCACTGCACTCCAGCCTGGGCAACAAAGTGAGACTCAGTCTCAAAAAAAAAGGAAGAACATTTTAGAATGCATGGGACTAAAGATAGTAGAATTATCCGAAAAGCTTTCCCCTAAAATATTAACAAACTCTACTCTTTCAAAAATTTACCTCTTCTACTTTGGGGTAGTTTATTAGTTACTAATTTCCCCATGATTTCTATTTTCAGATTAAGTGGTAGAATATACTAAAAGGGAACTAAAAACCAGCACCGAAAAAAAGCTGAATGACTGAGGGGGTGGGGAATGTTGTTTAAATATAATGAATAGGTAGAAGTAACTTTATCATTTATTTATTTATTTATTTTATTTTTTGAGATGGAGTCTCATTCTCTCGGCCAGGCTGGAGTGCAGTGGCATGACCTTGGCTCACTGCAGCCTCCAGTATAGGTAGAAGTAGCTTTATGTTTAAAAAATAATTTAATCTAAAAAAGTAGAGACAAAGTCTCACCATGTTGCCCAGGCTGATCTCAAACTCAAGTGATCCTCCCATCTCCACCTCCCAAAGTGCTGAGATTTATAGGTGTGAGCCGCCATGCCCAGCCAGAAGTAGCTTTAAATATGGGAGAGTTCTGTGAGAAGCAAGAGGTTGAGAAGACTCCTAATTTTGGCTAAGAAGGTTGAAACACTGGTTATATATTAACTGTGTTAATCAAGTTTTTTCTTACCTTTTCTTTACAGTGGTATGTTCAAGCCACTTGTGCAACACAAGGAACTGGTCTGTATGAAGGACTTGACTGGCTGTCAAATGAGCTTTCAAAACGTTAAATGAAACTGGATAACTAACCAAGGACATGTTTGATAAAATTGGTCTAGGCTTGTTACAACAAAATTAGTTTGTATCTTGGTTATTAAACAGTATCTGGGACTGGTTTGGGCAGAACTTATTTTGTTGCCAATTATTGTTTACCAAATATAATGTTGCTATTTAGCAATGTTACTGGTTTTAAAAAAATTCTCCTTGGGGAAAAAGTATCCTCTTTTAATTTTACTTCCCATAAGCCTAAATGCCTGGACATAGCTATTGTGAAACCTTTAAATAAATCTGTTTTGAGTGTTTTTTGAGCCCCAGACAAATAATGTTTTAAAGTTATCCCCTTGCTACTTTACTGACACCTTTATCATTCCTGAGACAGTCTGCTAATTTAAAAATGTAGCATTCCATTTGTATTTATTTCTCTCCCTTGCCAAAAAAGATTTTCTAATACTGCTTGTACCAGCCAGGAAAAGATCCAAAACACTATTCAGCTCTCTTGCACTGAGGAAATTTTTTCCCCCTGCATTGACTCCTGGCCTACAGCAGCCAAACTTACCTTGGTGTGGTTTTGATTTGATAGCTAATTAGTTCCGTGCTGGTTGCAAAGAATTGATATTTAGATGGTTTTTAATATTCAGCAGATTGTCTTCCTTTATATCATGTCTTTTTTATGTTGCATGTTGCTTTTGTTATCAGCCTGATTTTTTTGCTCAATATATGATAGTTCTGCTGATGTTTTATTATTGGGCAGACATATCTTCATTAAGGGTTTTTGGAAAACTCGTCAAATTCAATGAATACATTTTCTTCATAACCCATTTGGAATTATTCCTAATAAAATGATAAAATATGTAATTGTGTGTTCTTGAGTTTTTAAGGTGTTTGAAATGTATTTTCTCATATAGCAAACTTTGCTTGCATATTTTGTGTATTGTGAACATTAATACAGATCCCACTGGTACTAGGTTACTAATTGTATAAAGTGGAGATCTGGGTTGTTTTCATGTGTATAATAACATGGGGAGCACTATTAAAAACTTAAGTTTTCTAAAGTCAGATCAAAAGTAAAAGGTAGGCCTGGCACAGTGGCTCACGCCTATTATCTTAGCACTTTGGGAGGCGAGGCAGAAGGATCACTTGAGAGCAGGAGTTTGAGATCAGCCTTGGCAACATAGTGAGACCCTGTCTCTACTTAAAAAGAAACAAACAGCAGGGAAGAGGCATGGTATGTGGAGTAGGGCGGGGAGAGTAAAAGACTATAATAAAACGAACTGCTCAAAAAGCATGTATGCATGTGTGTTTTAGTTAAGGTTAATTACGAAAAATTCAAGTGCTGCTTGTATGGCCAATATAGAGACTAAGTGATGTTACTCTTCTACAAAAAAGTTTCACAGGCACTTTTTTCTTTTTTTAAATGGAGTTTCGCTCTTTCGCTCAGGCTGGAGTGAAGTGGCGTGATTGTGGCTCACTGCAACCTCCACCCCCTGTGTTCAATCGATTCTCCTGCCTCAGACTCCCGAGTAGCTGGGATTACAGGCATGTGCCACCATGCCCAGCTAATTTTTGTATTTTTAGTGGAGGCAGGGTTTCACCATGTTAGCCAGGCTGGTCCCAAACTCTTGACCTCAGGTGATCCCTCCACCTTGGCCTCCCAAAGTGCTAGGATTACAGGCATGAGCCACCATGCCGGACCACACTTTTTAACATGATACATTTTGGAACTTCAACAAAAAGTTGCATTTAACTCATAAAAGTATACCTCATCAACTACATCTATTAAGTTGGTAAGGGCTCAACTTGATAACTGAGTAACTTAGTTTCTGTCTGTATTCTAATGTTGCATTCTTAATGGCTTGTAAAGATTCGGCTAAATTTATGGATTGAAAATTACTTCCAAAATCGAATGCCTACCTGTAAAAAACATAATTTTGAATTGCCAAATAAATAATAATAAACAATGGCCAGGCACAGTGGCTCACACCTATAATCCTAGTACTTTGGGAGGCTAAGGTAGGCAGATTGCCTGAGTTCAGGAGTTCAAGACCAGCCTGGGCAACATAGTGAAACCTCAAATCTACCGAAAATAAAAATTCAGCATGGTGCTGCATGCTTGTGGTCCTAGCTACTTGAGAGGCTGAGGGAAGAGAATCACTAGAACCTGGGAGGCAGAGGTTGCAGTGAGCTGAGATTGCGCCACTGCACTGAGGCCTGGGTGACAGCAAGACTCTGCCCCCGCCCCCCTCAAAAAGAAGAAATACTGGATTAACCAAAAGGAAATTAGAATTAGTTGATGATTAGGGCAAAGTATGTTTGAACTAGTTTGTGTTACTTGTTAGAAATGCTGTTTTCCTAGCCAACTGGATGAATTCTCCCTTCTTGCTTCCCCTAAAGAAGAGGTGTCATTTCTTGTTAGATAAAACTGAGCTATATATAGTTTAATATGTGTGTGTAGTCTTATAGGGTATCAACCAGGAAATATAAAACATAAATGAGGCCGGGTGCGGTGGCTCACGCCTGTAATCCCAGTACTTTGGGAGGCCGATGCTGGCGGATCACGAGGTCAAGGCATGGAGACCATCCTGGCCAACATGGTGAAACCCCATCTCTGCTAAAAAAAAAATAGAAAAATTAACTGGGCATGGTGGTGTGTGCCTGTAGTCCCAGCTACTCCAGAGGCTGAGGCAGGAGATTTGCTTGAACCTGGGAGGCGGAGGTTGCAGTGAGATGACATCACGCCACTGCACTCCAGCCTGGCACCTGGTGACACAACAAGACTCTGTCTCAAAAAAAAAAAACAAAAACAAAAAACCGTAAGTGAATAAATTCAGTGTTAGGGTTGTAGTTAAATCATTAAATTGCCAAGGTATTTAACCCAGTTATGCAAAGATGTTTTCATGGACTGTAAAGAAGGACTAGAGAATCCATATAATCTTGTGATGTAAGGCAGATCTTTTTGAGATGATCTCACTGTCACCCAGGATGGAGTGCAGTGGCAGAATCTTGGCTCACTGCACCTCCTGGGCTCAAGTGATTCTCCCACCTCAGCCCTGAAAGTAGCTGGTACTACAGGTATGGTACTACAGGCATGAGCCACCACACCCAGTTAATTTTTATATTTTTCTCTTTTTTTTTTTTTTTTTTTTTTTTAAGAGATGGGGTCTCACCATGGTGGTTAGGCTGGTCTTGAACTCCTAACTTTGTGATCCACCCGCCTCAGCCTCCCAAAGTGTTGGGATTACAGGCATGAGCCACTGTGCCTAGCCTTAATTTTTTTTTATTTTTGCCATGCCCCAAACCCCAACTTTTATATTTTTTAAAGAAAGTATTAGCAACTTGATACTTGTTTACCCCTAAAAGTTATTTTGTCCGGTAATCCCAGCACTTTGGGAGGCTGAGGCGGGTGGATCACAAGGTCAAGAGATCGAGACCATTCTGATCAAAATGGTGAAACCCGTCTCTACTAAAGATACAAAAAATTAGCTGGGCATGGTGGCGTGTGCCTGTAGTCTCAGCTACTCAGGAGGCTGAGGCAGGAGAATTGCCTGAACCCAGGAGGCAGAGGTTGCAGTGAGCCGAGATCGCACCATTGCACTCCAGCCTGGGTAATAAAAGCGAAACTCCATCTCAAAAAAAGAAAAAAATTATTTTGTCTTCACTCTGTGATATATTTTTTAAGTCCCCCCCCCCCCAAATAGAAGTGGTTAAATGTTTTGGGGAAAAGTATTGAGAGGTAACTCCTAGCCTTTCCCTGTTTTATGCAAATACAAAATCACTGTCACTATCCTTGGTTATTGAAGTACTCTTATGAAATAGTTTATGCTATCAAAATTGAATGCTTACTGTTCACTCAAATGTTAAAACACATGTTGGTCAATGAATAAGAGTTCTCTGTTACTGCCCCTGTTGTACAGAGCTGTTGATTATATTGCCAGATTAGAAAGTACTCTGTCAAATAATGTCAGTAGACAAACTAAAGAGAAATTGTGATTCCCTTATAGGCTCACTTGGCAGCATCAGAGTTAAGAATAGTATGATTATCTGTTCTCTGGTCTCCCTGTCCAATAAGCTTATTTTTTTTGTCCATAATATTTCCCATTGTCTTTTGTCTTACTTTAACATAAGCTCCTTTTCTGTGATCTAATATCTTGATACTTTGTTAAGGGTTTCAATTTCCATGGAATTTTCCGCTTAACCTTATATACCCTCCATTGAAATAAAAAAGGCTTGGTGGCTCATGCCTGCAATCCCAGCACTTTGGGAGGCTGAGGTCAGGAGTTTGAGACCAACCTGGTAAATACAGTGAGACCACCATCTCACTGTACTAAAAAAAAAGAAGTGAAATATGTCTTTTGTGGAGAGTATAACTTATTTATTTCAGCATACAGAATTATCTTTCATCTAGTAGTAATTACTTTCAGGTCACTTACTGGGATCAAACTTTTTTTTTTTTTTTTTTGAGACAGGGTCTCGCTCTGTTGCCCAGGCTGGAGTGCAGTGGCATGATCACAGCTCACTGAGCCTTAACCTCCCAAGCTCAAGCAATCCTCTTACCTCAGTCTCCTGTGTAGCTGGGATTATAGGCCCACACCATCATGCCTGCCTAATTTTTGTTATTTTTTTATAGAGACATGGGGTTTTGCCATGTTGCTTAGGCTGGTCTTCAACTCCAGTTCAAGCGATTGACCCACCAAGGCATCCCAAAGTGCTGAGATTGCAGGTAGGAGCCAATGTAAATTCTACAGGTAGAATTAGTATGAAAACTAGATTTAATAATAACAATCTGTAAGTTAATTATCTGAGGATCTAATAGGGAACTTTCTTAAATGTGAAATCCTGGTTCTTTGTCATGGATGTTTAAAAGTGACTACTAACTTGTCATTGAAGACAAGTGCTTTTATTTTCTTTTATCTTATTGAGATGGAGTCTCACTCTGTTGCCCAGGCTGGAGTGCAGTGGTGTAATCTTAGCTCACTGCAACCTCTGCCTCTGGGGTTCAAGCAGTTCTGCCTCAGCCTCCCGGGTAGCTGGGCTTACAGACACACACCATGGTATTTTTAGTAGAGACAGGGTTTCACCATATTGGCCAGGCTGGTCTTGAACTCCTGACCTCAGGTGATCCCCACCGCCTCAGCCTCCCAAAGTTTTGGGACCCAGCTGGGACTGCACCCAGCTAAGTGCTTCTCAATGGGAAGAAACGAGAGAAAACAAGTGCTTGTACCTTCCGGTAGCTTGTACTTCTAGGTGTTTCAAGAATGTAAATTTTGGTTACCAGCTTTGGTAGAATTAGTATGAAAACTAGATTTAATAATAACAATCTGTAAGTTAATTATCTGAGGATCTAATAGGGAAAATATATTTCTACTGGTATATACATTGTGACATTGCATTCCTGGGCCACTAATGGAAGGTTATTTGGCTGCTGTTGTTTTTCACTATGTTACTTTTAGAGGACTATCCCTTTATCTTCAATAGTTAAATTCTAATAACATTGTGAGAAATGAATAGCAAAAGTGCTTATCTAGACACAGGCAAAAAATAATTAAGGTAGCTATACTGCTGGAGGCCTGCCACCACGGCTTCATGTGTTAGAGGGTAGTGGAGTTAGGTTCCTTCCTCCTTGTCAGTTATTTTTATATTGTTCAAATAATATGTTTTCAATTTTTTTTTTTTTTTGAGGCAGTCTCGCTGTCACCCAGGCTGGAGTGCAGTGGCACAATCTCAGCTCACTGTAACCTCCTCCAGGGTTTAAGTGATTCTTCTGCCTCAGCCTCCCCAGTAGCTGGAACTACATGCGCACATCACCACACCCAGCTAATTTTTGTATTTTTGGTAGAGACGGGGTTTCACCATATTGG